GGGGCGGCGGGGGTGGGGGGGAAGGGGGGGGGTGGAAGAGAGTAAAGGGCTGTTGTTAAACAGTTTCTTACCGTAAGAGGGAGTTCAGACCTAGATCTTTCCAGTTAATCACACAACAAATTTAGCTCATTGCAATAAAAAGCCGCTCAGAGCCGACTGGCTCTTTCAGGCACTGAGTCGGAACAGGCTTCTTCCACCCCAGGCATCTCCTCCAGTGGGACCCGCCAGCGCCCAGCACCATGTGGGTGACCAAACTCCTGCCAGCCCTGCTGCTGCAGCACGTCCTCCTCCACCTCCTGCTGCTCCCCATCGCCATCCCCTATGCAGGTTAGTTTTCTCTCCCTCGTTGTTATTATTTCCACTATCTCTTTCTCACCTAGTCTAAACCCCAGCATCCTTTCTTAGCTCAGTTTGTGGTATGGGTTTTTTAAACTTCTCAATGTCCTTTCTTTTGATCTATTTGCAAAGCATTTAAAATGATAATTAACATCCCTCAGGGTGTCTCCCCACCCCACCCTTACTCCCTAATGACCCAGCCCCTTCTCACTTAGCTTAATAGGTGTGGACTTCTGGGTAGGGATGGAGTGCTAACACTGGCTGGAACTTGGATGGTTTGGACAAGTTTAAAGTTGAACAGAAGGTCTGGGCTGACGAGGGGAGAGTGATGGTCAGTGCCGCAAGGATTCATTTTTTTTCCCCAGAGGATACTTTTCCATGACCATCCACAACCCCACATCACTCTGTAAACACTCAGAGCCAAATTATGGCTTTATGCAGGTCAACATTTGGAGACGGCAGATGAAACTCTGAGTCTATGCATGTTATGAAAATGAAAGAGAAAGCCTCCCTTCTAAGATCTCAGTTTTTCTGGGTATGGATGCCTGTCTTTTTGAAACTGCAGAGCAAGGAAGGCAGAAAAAAAAACAAAATTGTGTAACTTTGAGTAAAGCTGCAGAGCTGCTTTCGGCGTCTCATGTTCTGCCCTGAATTTACAGGTTGGGAAGGAGTTGCTTGGGAGTTCCTATTGCCTGGAAGTTGAGAAACTTCATTTACTGCTTTGGGACGTTTTCTGTTGTTATCAGGGCAAGAGGAAACATCTGCATTTGGTTGTATTATCATTGCAGTGGCTGGGATGCCAGCGGGAGAAAGTAGTGAGCATCATGGGTGGGCACAGGGGAATAAAAGAATGGAACACATGCCCAGATGGTAGACATGGCCTTTTTATAATCTAAAACAGAGAACTGGCTGTATTTTTTAAGAGAAGTTAAATATGAAGTTCGTCAGACCTCTGATCTAGCTCTTGATGTAATAGAAGAGTTGAAAACATCAGGGATGTGCTAAGTGATAAGAAACCGTTCAATCCACCTGGCTTTCTTCTCCTTTGTGAATTGGTCCTTTTGGAAAACAACACTGTGTTAGAAAGGTCAGCTTGAAAACAGGTAGGTTAGACTTCTGAAGAGGGGAAAAAGAAGTTAGTGCCATCACCAGGTTATCATGCTTGAGATGTATCCTGTTAGAATAGATTCTTATAAGACATCGCTGGTTTAGGGGAATTTAAGTGTAAATTGAAATCATGGCTGATATTTTGAGGGCTTTCATTGTTGAAGATTGAAGTGTTGCTAACGTCTGAAATAGACTCTGGTTACCTGAAATCGTCTGTGCTAGTGCAAGGGGAACACAGTGAGGAAAACCCAAACAGTAGATCAACCATAGACAATGTCTACTTGCTTTTGGCATGCATCATGAAGTTTTGGCAGGAGATATACATTCGTAATTATATTTCACTTTGGCTAATGTTGAAATGACTGCGTTTCCTGAGTGTGGAGAAAACGCAGCCCAAGAGTGTGCTGGCAGGCAAGGAGAGGCCAATTGGGAATTACAGATATGCTGTGAATAATTCCTGAAGTGTATAATGGTCAAGTTGTCATCAAAAGAGGGTCTGCCTTTGTTTGGGTGGCAAGTTTATGTTGATAGTTGTTCTTTTTTTAAATAACATTGTTCAAAATGGAAAACATGGATAACCCTCTTAGGACACAGAAAGTTTGTTCTTTTCAGTTTCATCTAATGCTGAACATTTAAAATTTTTGTTGTTGTTACTTGCTTCAGTGGTACTTTTTGATTTATCTTATTGTACATATTGTAAAATCATGCAATGTTAAGGAAAGAATTGGATACTATAGTAAAGTGACAATCAGTTCTGAGCAGAATGCATTATGGAGATATTTTACTGAAAAGCTTTTAAAGAAATATTCAATGCAGTGGACCGAAGCCATGTTTATAGAAGTTCTTGCACAGAGAATTACCCTCTATCTGTTCCTAACTACACTGGAAACAAATATCCAATCCCTTGTAACAGCTGAAGCATTAAATGAGCATCTACTGTGGGGGACATAAAGGTGAACAAATGAGGAAGAAACCTACATTACTGAGCAACTGTTATGGACCAAGCTCTAAAAGTGAAACTTGTTTAATTCTAATAAGACTGGCATTGTTGGACTCATCTAACATGAGAAAATTGAGGTTAAAGACCTTAAATGATCTTAGTGAAGGGATAGACCTGAGTGTCTTACCCAAATCTATGTGAATGAAGTATATGGGATTAAAAAATATTTATACTGAAGCCAATAATTGTGAAATCAATTGAAACAGCCTTTAAAGAATCCATTTTGCTAAGAAATTTAAGAAAAACTGTGGGCAGCTGCTGCTGCAAGTTTTCGAGTTGGCAAGGTACCTGACAGTGTAGTTGTTTTGGTTGCTGTGTGGATGGAGAGTGGTAGGCAGAAACAGCAGAGGCAGAGAACAGGAAATGGAATGAAAGAGAATGGAATGAAAGAGAAGGGAAATATCTAGGGAGGCCCCTAACCTCCTACTGAACATTGCTTCATTTTGCAAATCTCTTTGCTGCTTCTCAAATAGCAACATTTGATTGAAGTCTGACAGGATGCCTGTCTTCTTGACATCTTTATTTGTGATGCTGTTACCTTCTCTGCAGAAGGGGAGATGATTGTGACTTCCAAGTTCCTAGATAACAGCAATGACATTCTGGGCCAGTATTTATGATTCCTGCCTTTGAGAAGTTTAAAATCTCCTGTCACAACCATTCATTCCCATTAATTATTTGTATACTTTCATCTTAACATCTTGCCACTTCAAGCTGTTAATCACTAATCATGTGGGTAGGTTTCTCAGAATATGTAGAGCCAGATTCCTGCATCTTTCCACACCCTGCAAATCCTTTCCTTGCACGATTTTCCTTTGAAGTCAATGGTTAGTCCACACAGAGAAGAAAATATATGAGGTACTGAGAGAAATGAGTGTGAGGCCCAGGGACCAGAGGGAGAAATGTGTCTTTCTTCAAGCACCTTGATCCATTTGACCCTGCTCTCTGTTTGTAGGTTTTCACTACAATCCTAATGATTTCAGTTCTAAAATAGGGACTTTAGGTCCTTCAGGAAACACAGCTCCCAGAATGTTTCCCAGACTGGGAGAAGAGGAAAAAGTAGTTACAATTTGAAGTACAGGAAACATGACAAAGTTGGAGTGATCTCTCACCCTTTGATTTCATTTCACTATTTTGTTTATAAACTTCAACTAACAGCCATGCACAAAATTAGGAGGGCAAAATCTGATCCAAAGATATTTTTGAGTTTCTTCCCAAATGAAACTTGTCTTTTAACTGTTTTCAGTAAAATAAGCATCAGTTGTTACTACATATGGAAGATGATTTTTTTTGGATGCTGCTTTTTAATGACTTCTGTTTTGAATTTTTCTTTTATTGAAGAAGAAATTAAGTTTATAGGTGTATGGGGTTACACCATGTACAATTAGCTTGAACTTCACCTTTTTGAGTATATGTTACTGATCCAGTAGAAATGACTGAATTATAAGGGAAAGCTTCTAAGTCATGACAAATGAACAGTGGAAAGGGAATCCTGGTATCTGGTTCTGATCGCCTCTGATTAGCTTTGTAGCCCAGATAAGCCTTTCACTCCTATTTATTATCTAGTAAAGGGAAATCATGGACTTATTTGCCTTTTGGAATGCTTTTTGATCTTTAGATGAAATGTAGTGATGGGAAAATTTATCAGCAAGCAAGAGTAGACTATTTTTATGAGGTACAGCCACACATTAACACATTTCAATAGGACAACTGAGGAGCTGTAGAATTAAACACAACCAGCAAACCCACAGAGACTTTTTTCTCACAGTAGTCTTCAATGCTTGCTTTTATATTACATGGTATCAAGAAAAAAAGCAGAGCATTGACCAGGGATTCTATTTTTTTTAACAATTAGAAAAATACATATCGAATTTAATGTTAGTCTTGGACTTTTTAAATTTCTCTCTCACTTAGATGTGTATAATAAATACATAATACAGGAGGTCATTTTTAATTCAATATTTTTAGTTAACAGAATTCATTTGATATATATAATGCTTCCATTTTTGTGGACAATTTTTTAAATAAATGATCTGCATCTATTAACTATATTTGTTTCTAAGAAATATTTCTATTTGTGTAGGAAATCAGATGATTATTATGCTGTGAAACATTTCATAGCAGCTGTGAAATAGTGCACTAAGGTCAAATGAAGGAGAACCTCTTAATGAAGAAACTTATCTTCCATTAACATGGTCCTGTATTATAAACCAAAATTTGAAAAGAATTGTACTATTTTTTTTTTTTTGCTTGGGAGAATAAGTTTCACTCTTATGCCAGAAATTAAAGAATAAAATTTCAAAAACAAAAGTAAAACTTTGCATATTAATAACATTATTTATCCAAATTGGTTTCCAAATATTTACTTAATGATTATAGTTTAAATAGCTCCTTTTAGTTCAACTATAATACAACTTTTATTTTTCTTAGATTGAGTAATTGGGATATTAGCATTTCAGGTAATTAAACAAAGTCATCTGGCGAGTCAATGAGAATGCCAGAATTATCATCTGTCTGCCAACGTTATGCAAGGCATTTGGTCCGCACTCAATAAAAAACATGTTGATAGATTATTTGGTTGATTGAATTTCTATGTTAAAATGTCTTTTAAATTATATCTGTTGTACCATAGCCATTTAATCTTGTAGGGCAAAGAAAAGTTAAAAAAAATGAAAGCATTACTACAGAAATTAATACCAGTCGTTTGGACCCTGTGTTCTGGAGTTTTATAGAGAACTAGACATGTAGAAGACTTCATGTTTTCTCTTATTTATTGTGAACTTCAGGTTAGGAAAGACATTAATGAGTAGCATCTGTCCTCTTAAGAAACCAACCGGAGCCAGTGGTTGCTGGCAAACTTAAGAGGACAATGCCATTCTTGGTACCTCACTCTACTAGCCATAGTTCCAATTTTTTTAGACAAAAATTTTCATTCTCTTTTCTTGACACATTTCACCACATACAAAAGCCAGGAATGCATTGTCTGTTCTACTGTCCAACTTACTTCTGTACTGATGGCTCTAATCTAAATCTTCATGAAATATTTACAAGCCATATTCTCACATTCTTTCTTAGCAATGCTAAGAGAAAAGAAGGCATCATAAAGTGTTTAAGAGTGGGGGTTCTGAAGCTAAGGCAGCTGGGTTTCGAGTCAGATCTTGTAAGTGGTCAATTTTCCCCCGTGTCTTGGTATCTATATCTTTAAAATGAATATATTATTGCTGCCTTTCTTATAGGGTGTTCAACAGGATTGACAGGCAGAGGAGGGCACAGTCATGTCTATCCTTATTATACAATAGCTGCAGTCTCTTAGACATTTTCATCTTCGTGGTAAAGACGGTGATCATCATTACAAACCAGACAACTTTAGGCAAATTGAGAATAAAGAAGCAAGTTCATGATACTCTAATGTTATTGAATGGATTACATCTCTTAGGATGTTTTAGTTCTGTTCTCGGGTTTTTAATAGGAGGATTCATGCTATCTAGGCGCCCTGTCGAGCACTTTCATGAAGAAAAATGATGTTGTTACATTAAAGGATGAAGCTTTACATACATTTGATTTGCAGCATTTGGATCGATTTCAAGACAAACAGTTCAATGATACTAAGAACTAGTGCCCCCAAGCACAGAAGACACTAATGTGGGAAATGAGAAGAGCTAAAATATGAATAGTATGAAATATTTTAAAGAGCAAGTCAGAAAAATGTGTCCACTGTCCCAATTTTAGTGAGAAGTTTCTTATCTGTTATTGAATGGGCTTGTTTAATTAATACTATAACTTACATACAGACCACTTATGGGAGGAAATGACAAATTTAATTATAGAGCATGATATGATATGCTCTGGCCCTTGCTTTCATACTGTTTGGAGAATATCATGTTATTTATTTCTTTAGAGTGAACTCTGCCCTAATTTTTAAAAACATCCTTAATTTGAAAGAATGTAGATGAGTGAAGTGACTCTACATGACAAGTTATTTATTCTTCACTGATTATAATATTCTTTTTTTTCTCTTAACTATCAGAGAGTATCATTGCCCTCTTCACTCTATCCCCAACTCCTGGAGGTCTAGTATGTTGTCAGATAAAATCATTATCTTGTGGGTGATCTTTAAGGATTTTTTTTATGTTAGCCTCAAAAGCATATTCCTCATGTGTGTTTTTTAAATTATTATTAATAGAAGGACAGAAGAAAAGAAGAAACACACTTCATGAATTCAAAAAGTCAGCAAAGACTACTCTACTTAAAGAAGACCCATTACTGAAGATAAAAACAAAAAAAATGAACGCTGCAGACCAATGTGCTAATAGGTGTATTAGGAATAAAGGACTTCCATTTACTTGCAAGTAAGTTTCTTCATTTTGTTCTTAGGAAAACTTTCCAAATACAGTATGTACTTATTATCATCACGGTTTTTGTTTTTGTATTTAATGTGATTTGCCCTTAAAATTATAAGCTCGGCTTTAGTGTTAAACACATTACAACATAAGACTTAGCTCTCAGTTGATGGAAATATGAGTAAGGAAGTACATATAAACTGATATCTTTTAGACCTCATGGTGGCTTTGGTTATGGAATTTATATTTCTCATCTTATAAACAATTGAACTTTAGGAACTGAAAGGTAATTAGATTTACTTTTATCTCACTTTTAAATGTAATAAAAACCATTTAAAATATTCTATTCAGAGTAAACATTTTTTTTTCTTTCAAGAGGAGTGAAGAAATTTTCAGAATATAAGTTGGACAATAGCCAAAATTTACTGTAACTTATGTCAATGTCTTTAGGGATTTAAATAAAAGGTGTTGAGAGAATTAGATTAAAAACTAGAGGGGTTGGTGTCAGCAGCAGAGACTGTTTAGGCCAGGGTAGTGATGATGACATGATAGATGAAAAGTGATGGGGTAATTCAGAGAGGCATGAGGGGACTCAGAGTGAGTTCTCTTACTTGTGAAAGTCCCTGCATGATCTCACAGAGAATTCCTTACTACTTTGCCAGTAATCCCAGAGGATGTAATTTGGAATTTTGGGCCATGAAGGTGACACTTTCATCCTAACTGCCCAAGGAAAATGTGTTTCCTAGTTCTTCTCCATAAACATTTCTCCCCTCACTTACTTTCCTCCCTTTCATTCCCTATTTCATCCCACATGTTAGAGGATTTAGCATGACACCCTGTAAATTTTAAATTCTGCTCTATAACATTTGGGTCATGACACATAATGTGAACACAGATTTAGTAATGTCATGGCAAGTGGTCTGAATTTCATCTCGCCTTTCTCAGAGAAATGAATGTTATGGGCCTGAGGGGAAAGGACATGGTCAGAGAATAACTTCAATAGATTTAGAGGGAGGAGAGACTATCTCCTTTCTATCCATTTACAGCTCCTCTGGAAGTATTTTATAGCCAAACTGCCACTTTCAGGGAGATATTTCTTGGCAAGAATAGTCGGGGATTGACTTTGCAAGTGTTTTCCTGTGATGATTCTGCTTCTTTCCCTGACTTTCTGATAAAAGCCTTGAGTTAGGTAAATATAAATTAGAGAAAACCAGTCTCAATCAGCATCTCAGCTGTGCAGATTTATGGAGCTGTTCTTCTGGCGGAGGAGGTTGGATTTACTGTACCTGCCCCCCGCCCCTTGGGGTTGGAAGGGCAGGGCATAGACAATTAGAGAACCACAATCATTGTTGGTTTTTAACTCTGAATCTGACAAGACCCTCTCCTGAATCCACAAGTAAGGAAAGTATTGCTACCTTTCAATTTTCACATTAATCAGCCTTATGCCTATTAAAACCAAACCAAAACAAAACAAAAAAACCTTTTCCTTTGTTTTATTTAGTGGAAACGAAAATGAATTTGCTTCATTGGAGAACACATGTGACCTGATTAATATATCTTTACATACCCCATGTATATGAGGTTTCATATTTTCCTACCATATTCTGGTTGAGTTAAATTTAGTCTGCAAATTTATGGCAACCTGTACAGAAAATCACATGTAATAAAACCCATGCACAGCCCAAGTCTTCCTGCCTAGAAATTGTATCATCCTTCTCACTTATCTATCCCAATATGTGTGTCTTATACATATGTGTTTGGAACCACTAAATACATTAGTTATTCAGAATTAAATATATATACTGTGATACTCTGAAATTAGTTCTTAATGAAGTAAATGATATTTTTGCCGACTTGTTATATGGACTAGAATCATTGGCAAACAAGGGCAAATATAGGAAAATACCAACAAAGCTGTGTGAAAGCATTTGCAATTGAGTAGGCATGGAGTGGAACATTATCAAACACTCTTTTCTCTTGAGAAGGAATCAAAAAAATTATTGCATAGAGATTGAAATGTTCCTTTGCTGGGTAGGAAAGATAACCAGAGTGCCTGGTTCTAAGCTCTTCAGAAAATTGCCATTCATCCATTGGCTCAAGAGAAGAAAACAGGAGGCATTCCTCCTCTAGCCATGAGTTATTCTTACTGGAATTGCCCTCCTGCCATGGCCAACTAATTCTGGAAATGAAGATGATAATTAAAATCAGGCTAAGATAAAGTCAAACTCTTACAGTCAAACTTAAATTTGACAGCCAGGATCCAGTCCATATGGAGTGTACTGTGGTCGAAGGAAACAGTTTTCTGAGAGAATATGCCAGAGTAATGGAAGAAGAGAAAAAAGTGAATGAAATCAGTGAGCTGGAGACCCTGTCCCTCACTTTCCAGATGTAACCACATTTGTATTCACAGAGGCTAATCTTGCACGTTCCCCATGGGGCTCCTGCAAAGTTATCTCATGTCAAAGCCGTATAGAAAAGTAGTTTATATATGTTTGCTACATTTTTATTTTAATGTAAAGTTAAGGGGGAAGCTATTGATTTATTTTTAAATGTTTGTTTATTTTTATATATGTTATTTATATAATTACTATGGTTTCAAGGTCATTTAACACTCCCCCCCTAACACTACAATAAGGAAATAGGGAATTTAACATGTATGGCATAAGCTTATAGTCTACCAGATCACAATACAAATCTATTATTAGCCAATTCTTTTTTTTAATTTGTTTTATTGCTTAAAGTATTACATTTGTCTCCTTTTTTTTCCTCCCCTTGACCTTCCCCTGGTCTCCCCTACCCCCCAGTGTCTTGTCTTATCAAGTTATTCTGCCACAGCTACAAAAATAATACTTTTATGTTTTGCTTTTAATTACTATGTCAGCTATAAAATGTTTTTAACAGGTAGATATTTTAAAATACTTGAATGTAAATCAAAGCACAAAGTTTTTGAATATGTTTTGAAGTTATGGATATAAAATGAATCGTAGTGAATAAAATATAAAATAATAAATAAAATATTTTTCTAAAATTTTATGTCTTTTTTGTATTTGTTTTATAAAAATTATTTCCCCTTATTCATTTTATTTAAAAGTTGTCAAAATACTAAGAAATGAAGGCTTGTCCATGGTGGCATCATAAGTAGCATAGTGAGGAATTTTAATATCATTTCTTAATGGGAAGAAAACACTTCAGAATTCCAACATCAGTTCTTATGTATAAAATGTTATCAAATACTTTACTATTTATGGTTAAGAGATTTTTGCATTTGTAATTTTAGTTTAGAAAGACTTTTTATTGCCCTCCTTGGTTAAACCATGTGCCCAATCTTTAAAAACTGTATAAATAGTAGTATTCCTTCTTTTCATTCAGATATTTTTTTCAGGGCCTTTGTTTTTGATAAAGCAAGAAAACGATGCCTCTGGTTCCCTTTCAATAGCATGTCAACTGGAGTGAAAAAACAGTTTGGCCATGAATTCGACCTCTATGAAAACAAAGGTAACTGGCCACTTTCTAAATATCCATAATAAAATCAAGTGTAAAAGTATGTAAATTTCTGCCACAGTTCTCTTTCTCATGGATTTTTCTGTTATATACTGGATCTATTGTGCAGTCAATTCATCTATTAAGACAGATGACACTAGAGACTTGACAATAGAATGACACCTGATTACAGAGATCATTTCCCAAACTTCCCATAATTAGATTACCTCTTCTCAGTTTATTTCTAGGAGCCTCTCCTAGAAATGGTATTCCCCATGTCATTTTGGAAAGCGCCACCTTAAGCTATTAGTTTGACATCTTACATTACAGAAAATTTGGGGATTACTATAGTATTTTAAATTTTAATAACTTTAAATATCTAAGTTATAGTGATAATTGCTGATAATAAAAAATGTGGAGATATTGAAAAAAATAGTTGGATCTATTTCTAATTATTAGATTCTTTAAAATATTATATATATGTTTTAAAGGAACATATATATGTTTTAAAGGAACATATGTTCAGAAAGGAAAGGAGAGGGAGAAAAAGATAGAAACAGCCATAATGAAAATCATTGATTGGCTGCCTCTTGCATGCCCCTCACTGGGGATGGTACCCACATCCCAGGCATGTGCCCTGACTGAGAATTGAAGCTTGAGCTCCTGGTTCATAGTTTGACACTTAACTACTGGCCAGGCTAATAAAATTTTTTTAAAAGAAGAACTGAGACCAAATTTTTTGTTAATTTGTCTATTTTAGTATTCTGATATTATAGTCACAAGGTATTTACTTTGTAAAAAGCAGAATGATATCAAATTATTGAAGAATGTTAAATAAATATGAATTTGAGAAGATAAATCTCTCATCACAAGAAATAGTTATGGATGGTATTTATAATAATAGCATTAATTTTAATTTTAATGCTTTCTTCAATCATATTATCTTATTAATTTAGGTATTTGGTAATATACACAGATATTTTCTTATAATATGGTATATGTCTAAATTAAATTAAGATGGGTTCATGGTAGACAATAAAATGATATCTATATACCCCAATAATTCTACAAATCCTAAATATAATTCATACTCTAGTATAAGACCATCTTCAACTAACAACTGTATTGTAGTTGATATTGTTTGACAGAAATGTTCAGCATGTTTCAATTTGATTGCCCTGCAATTTAGCAGTGGAAATATTAGCAAAAATATGGAAAAAATCAAAATAATATAATTATATCACACACACATATGTATATATAAAACCCACACCATTTTACTAAAAGACAATTTAGTTACTTTTATTATCTCAAAGTAACTTTCTGAATTCCTTATAGGTTTTATAAATCCATTAATTTTCATTTTTAATATTTTCGTAACATGGTCTGCATAATTAAGCAAATCATTCTGCCAAATTCAGTTTGGCCAGTTGAATGTAGAGACTATGTTAAATACATAGACTAATATCTTCAGTTATCCAAGTATATGCTCACAAAATTAAAACTTCTCAATAGTCTTTTTGCTGTTGTTCTTGTTTTGGATTATTCTGAAATGTATTATTTTGAAAATATTAGTAGAAGCTTTAGGCAATGCATTTCAATACGATTTGAGAAACAGTAGTTTACAAGTGTTAATTACTTAAAGGTTTGACCGGAAGTTTCTTTTACTTTTAGATATATACTGCATGTGACCCATAGTTATAGCCTTTGTCTCTGCTTTCTTCTGATAGACTATATTAGAAACTGCATTATTGGTAAAGGAGGTAGTTACAAAGGAACGGTGTCTATCACTAAGAGTGGCATCAAATGCCAGCCCTGGAATTCCATGATACCCCACGAGCACAGGTAAGAACAGCATGAAGAAGAGAGGATAACCCTCTTTTTTGATTATGTGTGTTATAAGTCTCACATTGGTCCTTTGGGATAATTCTACAGTTCTATCATAGCATAGACAACCTTGCGGAATTATAGCAGGCCAAGGATGATGCGAATCCATGACTGGTATTTGCCAAAGATGAACAAATTTATCATTAAGATGTGGCCTAACAGCATCCTACCTCAAAACTTCAATTTATAGATCCTAGTGTTTGTGAAAAAGTAATGGAAACATAATTTTAAGATTTCCCCCTGTCCCTTTGTCTTCAAAAAGGTTCCGCCATGTGCAGCTGGAGGTGAAGAGGTTGACTGTATAAATTAGAGATGGATCACATTCTGACCTTACCTAGTGGCCAAATGTTCTTTAACCATGGTGGCTCTCAACCTCGGCTGCACATTAACATCACCTGCTAGAAGCCCATAACACCTCCTGCCACCCAGGTATCAGCATAGACCAATTAAATCAACATTTCTTGGGGAAATAACCCATGTGCCATCTGATTTTTAAAAAATGCTCACCAGATGATTCCAAAGTACAGTCAAAACTGAGAACGTCTGCTAAAAACTCATGCCTCTGACCAGCTTTCCCATTTTTACCTACTGTCGGATGACTGAAAACAAAACAAAACACAACCTTCTCATTCCTTGGGAATTAAATGTCTACACTTAAAATTGTGTTCATTATGAGATGAATGCTATTTAAAGATGAGTAAACATAGTAGCCATAGGCTCATTAGTCTGAAAGTTTTAATCATAATGGAGGAGAAACATAGATATCTACTCCCCACTAGAGAACTAAATTTAGCCAGTTTTCAAGGTTTATTTTACACATAATTTTAACTGCAACTACAGTAGTTGAAAAACAGCTCACTCTGGTTATTAAATGCATTAGAAGATTTAGATTACCAGGTGCCAGTTACCTTGCTGAGCAGTATACCGCGTCTATATCCTTTAATCTTCCCAAGAAACACATAGTGGATGGTTTTATTAATTCTGCTTTTACATAGGGGGATGCTGAAGCACAAAGAGCCTTAGTAACCTTTCAAGGTCATTCACATCTAGTAAGTGGGATGGCCAGAATCTGAGTCCTGCTTTTAACAAGCCCAGGGCATCATACACTTAGCAGGTCAGTAGGACACAGGCTGTCACTTGTTTTTGCAATAGTGAGGATAACTTTGCCTTAATGAATCCACTTTTTATCCCACTCCATTAATTTTTCGAGGGTATAATTATGAAAGATGATTTTACTTCAGTAAACAAAGATGAGTTCATTGGTCCACATACAAAGAAAAAGAGTTTGTTGCTTCACATTGGGATCAAACTTGTGATCTCAGCCTAATTAACACCGGCTAGTAAGTATCCAAACTGATCAGCTTTCCCGTGTTTCAGTAACAGAAAACAACTAATCTTTTCCAAATTATTGATTTTTTAATTTTAAATTTATTTTCTAACTTTATTGTTACTATTGACACTATGACAGATGTCCCCATTATCCCCCGTTTGTCCACCTCCACCCATTCCCCTCTCCCCTTCCTTCTGGCCATCACCACACTGTTGTCTGTGTCCATGGGTTATGCATATATGTTCCTTGGCTAATCCCTTCACCTTCTTTTATCCAGCCTCTCCCTTCTCCCTCCCCACTGACAGCTTTCAGTCTGTTCCTTGCATCCATGCCTCTGTTTCTACTTTGTTGGTCAGTTTATTTTGTTCATTAGCTTCCACATATAAGGGAGATCATATTTACTTTTAATTACACACAGATACCTGTGAAATAGAGAATTGTCCTCATATTTAAAAAACAAACAATATAATTGTTTTTGTCCTCTCATAAGTATGTGGATGGTGTCATTTCCAGGATATTACAGAAAACATCTTATTTAAATAGATAGATCTATGCTTTTCATGAACAAAGGAATAGCATTTGAAATCAATCCAGCCTTAGCTAAGGAGAGTGCACTGGACTGACCCAGTAGAGGTCTTATTTCAATCCAATTTCTCTATGATTGTGATTCTCCGCTAGAGGAGTAAATGTGAAATAGATCTCCCTGGGAACAGGCTTTCCAGTCCAATCAGCTATTTTTCCAACAAACATTTCCTTGAGTTTAGGGCTGAGAAGATCTTGTACATTAATCAACATTTTAAAAAATTCAGTGGGAGCAACACTTAATTATCATCAATTATCAGCTTATTGGAATATCAACATAATCGCTTAACACTTTTAAGTGTTAACGAAAGATTAACTTCATGGGAAATGGAAAAAGAAATATATAAATGTCTTTGTCTAGAGGAATGATTTGTTGTTGACTCCCTAAATTGAAATATTTTACAAGTGGCTTAATAGGAAGATGATGATAGATGATGAAATGAGCATAGAAGCTTAACCAGAGAATCAGGTGACCTGATATCTACACCTCTATCTTTCATTGGCCACCCAGCATTCATTAATGAAGCAGATGATGGAATAGATCAAGTTTCCTATGAACACTGTTTATATTAAAAGAAAAGAAAAGGTGACTAGCACCAGAAGATCTAATTTATATTTCAGAGTACCTTTAAATATAACTCAATTTTAAATATTTCTTCACTTATCTCTCTTAAAGCCTTGCCAACAAGGACAAAGAACCAACAATCGTATATATGTAAATAAAAGTTTATTACAAATCCTGTTGACTGGCATATGGCTTTGGTATAACAGGTTTTCATAAACATGTGTTGAATGAACACAAATAAGTGAAAAGAGCAGGACTAAGCTTCACCCCTGGGTCGGGTACAGGCTGCTACAGAAAAGCATGCTAACACCTCAGAGCACAAAGGAGAACCAGTTAATTTGGGTAAAAAGTCATATATGCCAAAGAATGAAGAGAAGAGATGACCCAGTGTTCTTGTTACCCTGCATGCCTTCAAGAGGAATTCGATATAAATTGATAAAGAATTGTGAAAAGAAGCACATCTTTTCTCTTCATTTCTCATTTTGTTAACTCTATTGGGACAAGTTTATTCATTTTTCAGCCACTTTTAGGTTTGATTTACACTTTATCTACCTTTCTACTTGTATTTTTCCTACTAAATTGTTTTTTTGATTCATTCACTACTTCTTCACAGCTTCTTTTTTACTTTAAAAATCCACTGGAAAGGTTTATTTGTGTATATATTTGTGTGTGTGTGTGTGTGTGTGTGTGTGTGTGTAGAACAAAAATCTCTAAAACTAGATATTTAATGTGTTCATTTAATATGTGCTAAATCCATTATTTAGTTTCTTAAGTAAACTGAGTCTGTAAAATGATAGAAAATGAAGGACCTCATAATAATCCCATTCACTCCATTCATTTTATACATCTGGAAGTTGAAAACCCCAGGTGTATCTAAGAACTGGTGTCATATATGGCAGCAATGGAGATTTTGTGATTATTCTTACTCTTCTATTATACTAAGCTTCCCATAAAATAGAGTTATAAGAGAATTTTCTAAGGTAAATTTGATTAATACATTACTTTATGAAAGAGTAAAATCAGTTTTGATTCTATCAGAATAGTGTTTCATTAAAAGTTATTATAAAAAATTGGAGAACTGACAAAAATGAAAGAAAATTTCAAGCAATGGCACATACAAAAGGTATCATAAATTATTCCGGAATAATAGGACTAAAACTAAGACAAAAGATGACTCCTTTTTCCTTTGAAAATTAAAACTGTTAGGAAACTAGTGAAATCATATGAGCTTTAATTGTTCATTCAATTGTTTAATTTTTACTTCCACAGAGTAAAGACTACTAAGTGGAGTGTGCTTAATAGGTAGCATTTATTGTCAATTACTCTGTCATCTCTTAGAACTTCTCAAAACAACCATATACGGTGTAAGATATGGTTACACAGTCTACTGTGTTATAAGTTACGGTTATATTCATTGTACAGGTAAGCTAATAGGCTGAGAGGCCAAATTACATGCTGGGTCTCCAGTTAGTAAGTGAGAGAGTTGAAATTTGAGTCCAGGTTTAATTTGATTCTAGACCCTTTGTTCCTGTTACTTCATCAAGCTGTTTCTCAGTTGTTCAGAAAATAGGAGGGACATTCTTCATAATAAAAGCAACAAATAAACAAGCAATTATGTGGGATAAGCAGCGTAACTGTGAGCTTTCAAGGTCAATTGCAGTGTTTCTTCAGTTTTCTTCTTAGTGGCCTTGCTCAATCACTTGCTGCCTTTGAATGAGGCTTAGAAATTGTGGTACAAATAATGTTCACTAGGTTCTTAAATGTTTGGCTCTTGAAAAATCCAGTGATAAATCATTCTTAATGATGTTGAGCATGTGAATTGTTAGCTAAGTGTTTATAAAATTTAAGGATTTTAAGAATGGATGGAAATAACACTTAAAGTTAATATACAGGGTGGGGCAGAAGTAGGTTTATAGTTGTCTATATGGAAAACAATACATAATAAGTAATAATACAAGAATAAACTCTGGGTTTGCATACTCACAAACTGTAAACCTACGTTTGCCCCACCCACCCTGTACATGGAGATCTGAGTTAGAATAAATGTTTCTCCACTTTCAGGGAAAACATACCCGCTAATTAGTAAATTTAATAGGCCCACAGTAAAGTTGCATGCGCTTATACTGTAATGATTATCATTTTAAAACTAGCTTTTTGCCTTCGAGCTATCGGGGTAAAGACCTACAGGAAAACTACTGTCGAAATCCTCGAGGGGAAGAAGGGGGACCGTGGTGTTTCACAAGCAACCCAGAGGTACGCTACGAAGTCTGTGACATTCCTCAGTGTTCAGAAGGTAAATGAACCTGAATGCCGTGCGGGGCACTCTGCTCCTTTGTGTAGATCTGCAGCTCGCATGAAAGGTTAACAAAATCAAACCACAGCGCAATGAGTATGTTGTTTATTCCAACACAACCATAGAGAATTAACTGAGCCTTTTATACCCAGTTTTAAGACCTGATCATCACCAGATGAATGCAGACTAAGGGAGCGAGTTATCAGTTTGTGAGTTTAATAGAGCCTGAGGCATCATTCTGGGGAGAGTATAAACTTGGACTTTTTCATTAACCGTGTGGAGCTCACGTGCCTCAAAGTCTGTTTCCATACATCATCTGAAAGGAACCAAATGCAACTTAGCTCTTTATGTATGAGTAGAGCTAATTCTCTATTCATCAAACTCCTGCTTCCACAGCAGCAGCAGCAGCGGTGCAGCAAGGGTATATGAACCCAGAAGGGTATATGGGAGGGGGTCATGGGAATTGGACACACCTGTGTGCGTTTTGGTGCAAATGTGACTAGAACCAAATCTAATACATAGACTGGAACACTGTTCAGAATAGCATCTGAAGAGATCAAGGCTGTCTTGAAGGCAGGCACCCTAAATCCATGTCTATGTTTTTACCTCCTCTCACAGCATAAGAGGGCACTGTCCTTACTTTTGCAGTGGAAAACTGAATGACTGATGAGAAGGAAGAGTAACCATTTCAGCATTGTATACGGTTTATTTTTCTTAGTTATCTGGCTACCGAATAGCTGTTCTGTCAGAAACCTAAAATACTGAGAATCCAAATGAAACATGGATTACATTCTGATAGAAATTTAGTAGGATTTTGAAGTTTTGGGGGGTGGGGGGGGTCTGCTGAAATACTGTCCAATTTTTATAGTAAGTTATCTTACCTATTTGTTAATGAACCAATTTTTTAAAAGACATTTCTTCCCTAAATATCAATTTAGTATTAGGTTGATATTTTCACATAAAAAAAAATCATTGTTAGTTCATTGTCACAGAGAAGGTGGATTTGTTTTCTGTTGTTGGTTATTTTAAAGTTGACTTCATGTGCCAGAGCCAGTTCTACTTCTGTTTGTAAATTCTTACTTTTCATTCGTTCCATATCGTATTCTGTTCACTATAACTTCTTCATCATTGTTTTCTTTTCTTTTAAAAATAATAAACTGATCTGTGATAACGTGATAAACAAGTCTGTTTTGTATGAATAAGTCTGTCATTAATGTTTGTCTTAAATTTACACCTGGAAGAAAATAACCTGCTTTTGGGAAACTCTCCATTATCACAATTCTCTGAGGTTGAAAGTCATCGCAAGGAGTTTTGTAATTGATTTTGTTTGACCTTGGAAAGTTTTTTCAAGGGAAGGTAACGTGGTCCAACTGTAAACAGTTTAGCATTTATGTTACCTGCCTAGTCTGTATGAGAATGTAATTTTTCAACCACTGGTTTATAAGAGAAACCTTATCAAAATACACTGGCATAGATCTGAACTGATAATTAATGTAGAACAAACATGCTAGAAAATAAGTAATTATAGAAGTCCTCTTTCCAGTTATTCTTATGTCATTAGATTATATATCTCTAACATCCTTTAATAATCATTTTAGGTCATTACAGCTCCCTTGGAAAGGGCATTACTCTTTAGTATAATGGTGCATGATGCTGATGGTTACAATGGCACTGAAGGTTGCAGATATGCTTTTTCTGGAAACAATTAGAAATCTGACAATAGTAGAAAAACCCTCCTGTAAGAGAAGTAAACCAACACCTACCTGTCCTATAGGCTGAACATATCTCAGGGAGTGTGAACTGAGTTGTGATGTTTCAATTCATTCTATAATGAACAATGTTTTAGCAGATTTTAATAAAGAGGATCTAAAGTAATAAGCACTATCAATACATCAATAAAGAAAAATAGCTCTTTATAAAATAAGTAATAAAATACTCAAAATAATGTACAAATGATGTTCATTTATATTAAGATACAAATGTAAGGGGGAAACCTCAAAATCCAGAATACTTAATATCATCAGTGAGCCATTTTTATCTATGTATATTAATTTATTGAATGGCAATTTCCAAAGGTTATGTCATTATGGATGAGGTAATAATAATCAAATAGTTTTGGATATTTAAAATTAAGCAAGAAAAATGCCTCAAGTCAAACTTCAAACTGTTCTTTTTAAAAATACATGTAGAACAGTATATATTTTTTGAAAAATTTATAACAAACTTTTGACTAAATACTCATCTGAAATTTTTCAGAAAGTTTGATTCATAGACAATATATATCTGATGTCTGATGATTAATATTATTTTCTTATAATTTAAAACTTTGAAATATATTAAGCATTCTAGTAGAAATGTCAATCTTTGATTCAAAGATTGTGGAAAACTGAGCTTTGTAAAAATCTAATTTCTTGTTTTAACATTTGCTTGGGATTTAAAATAAAGCCAACACTAGTCATTGGAACAGATGTCTTTTTAATGATTGTCAGATATCCGAGTAAATACATTTTAAGCCATAATCATTATTTTTTAATGTCTCACACATAATATCCCAAATAATACTGTGTGTTAAATCCATACTCTTCATGGAGAATGACTTTAAAAAAAAACAAACAAGACTTAAAAAAAACTATTACTAGTATTTATAAATATGGATTTGTGTGAGACTATCCATATTTTAAACATTCAGTTTTTCTGAAATAATCACCAGCATGGAATTTGCTGAGAAATACTTTTTGAAATATCTCTTTTACTCTTAAACTCAGATTACTGTGGTTTTGTGATTGAGAAAAACGGAACACAGTATTTTTTGAGTTACTTAGTTAATATGGTGAGAAAGATGTTACGTTAATCCTACTTATAATTATGTGTCATTTTATAATTTTCTACTACTATTTAGGTCAAAACTATATTCAGAAAAAACATTCTACTTATGAATAGAAATAATTATTTTGCATTTATGTGATCTGGATTAGTATTTTACTTTTTTGTACTTTTGTTTGTTCTTTTTTTTTTTTTTTAAGAAAAGAACTTGCTAGAAGGGTTAAATAATACACTTACCACAGTAGAGAGAGAAAAAGAAAATAGAGCAGGAGGGCAATGCTCACCCTCTTGTACTGTTAAATAGATTATGCTTTCACCTGGCTCCTTGAGTAGGTGGACTTAGCTTCTACCTGTCCTACCTGTACTGCTTAACTTTGAGCTACAAAAACTGAGAAGAGTCTTAGAATTCTGGAATTTTGAAAAGTGACTGTGAGCTTAAAGTTTGGCTTTCTTGAGGTAATTTTTTAAGACTAACCTGAGGGTCTGATGCCGTGGTAAAACAACAAACCTTGGAAAAGATGGCCAATCTACCTGCTTTCCCAGGGCCTCCTTTTCCACATGCCCCAGTAGGTGAAAATCCAACAGGAGGACAACCTACCGTTATACACAGGAGAACAAAAGGTAATTGGGACAATGTTGAAAAAGTCAGGGAGGTTGACTTTCTAAAATTATTCTTATCAGTCTACCTGAAAGTGTGACTAGTTAGGATGTATAGGGGACACATTAAAATATGTAGGACACAAAAGCAGTGAGGGAGAATGGAAAGAACACTGGACTATGGGTCAGGAGACCTGTGTTCCAAGCACAAGTTTGACATATTTCTGTTTTAGGTAAGTCCTTTAAGATTTTGTGAGTTCTTCCCTCACTACATAGATCAAATGATTTCTTATACATTAAAAGTACTGAATAATCAAAGAACATGTAATGATAATATATTTAGAATCTCACTTCTATCACCATAACACATTCATTGACTACCAAAATCCAACATTATTCTTATTAACTTTTATTATTAAAACAAATCTTACTAGGTCTGAAACTGCATCCATAATCATCTCTTCACTTTACTATAAACATAGCACGCTAATTCACATTTCTATACCATTTTATGGTATTTTGCCCCTTTTTAGCTTATCCAACTCTCATTCATCCTTCAAGGACCAGGTAAAATCCACTCTCTTCTAAAAAGCTATTACTGACAAACACTTAGAAATTTTAGAATGGAACTAATTATCCACAAACTTGCTATTCACCATGAGATCCAGGTACCAGAAGCATCAGCATCTGCTGGGAGCATCCCCATCCCCAAAACCCTTTATAAGAACTTGCCCTTTAACAGGATCTCAAAGTGACTTTTTACGCACATTCAAGTTTGGAGAAGCACTGGTCTACCACACTCATTCTAGAAAGTGGTCATAAGAAAAATAAAAAATCCTGAAGTCCCCAGGAAAAATGTTTTATAATAATCCCCACAGTATAGCTTCCTAGAAAATAACTTTATATACTCTCATGTAAGGGGATATAGTCTTATAAACTGCATTTGCTGAAGGAGACAAAATAGATATATTTTAATTTCTTGAGTACTATATAAGGTTAGAAATTGTATATGTGGACCCTTATCTCTTATGTCTGACCATAGTATTTTATTCTGTTTTCTCATTTAATTGCATTCATTTTTTTCATTCAATTTTATTCATTACAAAGGAGCAAACAACAATGATAAATGTCACATCATTTTCTGTGAGGATATCAAATCTTGCATTCTTTTAAAAAAAGGGAACTAAATCAATCTGTACTGCATTCAAATGGGAAGCTCTGATGTGATAAGGCGTAACATATGTTGAGCATTTCAATGTTGAAGAGGCCTTGCCCAAACAGAGAACTGTTATCATTATGCTCTTGGACCCCTGAAATGTATAGTGCACATGCTTACGGACTGTAGTCTGGGAATCTCAGGACCAAATGAGAGGAAGCTGAATTGGTCCCCTGTCTTAGTTCACAGATTAAACTACATGAAAAGAAGTAGATGGATCAAGCCAAACTGTCTCATGTTTTGGAGAGTTAATAGTTAATGTCCTATTAGATGATACAAATCAACGGTTCAAAAGTGATTTTTCTGATATTATACCCCCAAGTTATTACAAATGCTAATTAGGCTAGATCTTGGTAGATACAACTAAACATTGACATCTTTGCTCCCTTTCAGTAAAGGTAGATGATCAGTAATCACAAGATACAAATGATGTGTTTGGGGAAGTTTGCCTGATCGGTAGGAAAGCCAAGCAATGATTTATTCCACAGGGTGCCTGCAGGACTACAAATCAACCTCTCCATTTGAGAAGTATCTTTTTCAGATAGTTGATGTGATCCAGGGTTTTCAGTGTGACATAAGAGGCCAGCCAGAAGAGAACTATTAATGAACCACACAGAATCATCAGTAAGATTCTGCATACCTAGGTCAACTTAAAACATTTTAAAAACAGTGAGTACAAGGAGTTCAATAGTAGGTCAACTTCTATCCTCAGCTAGATAAGAGTAAAGCCTGCCCTGTTATTCAACATGGATATTTGCTAGCAGAAAGGAGCTATGCTTTCTTCTTTTAAAATATTCATCGAATAGTAGCAGATTTGTATGCAAAGCTCGTCTCTACAATCTGTCTCATCCCAATTTGGGCATTGACCATATGAGTAAGATGTACACTCATTTCCGGTGCATGTCATTGGAGGTTCGGCTGAGAGGGGGGCTTTATTGTACTGACAGTATAACTACTGAGATCCCTTGCAGCTTAGACAAACCAAGAGGAAAACCCCATCTATCTGATATTTCCAGTTTCTAAGTACCTTTGGACAGTTATTGAAAAATTAGAAAGGTAATTTCCTGGTCCTGTGGTAAATCTGTATGACACTGAGGACAAAAATCTCATTTAAGCTATATGAAAAGTTCTGTAAGGAGGGTTTTATGTCACTCTTTATGGACATTAGGCCATAATTTAAAGTTAAAATGTAAGTTTTTTCTAGAAATCTCTTTGTGAAACAGATGATTTACTGTTCTTTAAATGGAACAGTGGTGTTTTTGATTTTTCTGTCAGAAGCAATTAACATGCCATGCTTTGATTTTATTAGTAGAATGCATGACCTGCAATGGGGAAAGTTATCGAGGCCCCATGGATCATACAGAATCGGGCAAGATTTGTCAGCGCTGGGATCATCAGACGCCACATCGGCACAAATTCATGCCAGAAAGGTAAAATACCACTAACCGTGTTCCCAGCGATTTTTTTTTCTCAAGCTGTTATTTGTTCCGTGACAAACTGAAATGGAAATTCTCTTTATACAATGTTTTCTGGAAAGTCTTGGGCAAAGGGATTTATGATGAGGTACCTGAGTGCTGTGTACACTCCAATTGGTCCTGGCTGACTGCATTCCAATTCCCAGACATCAGGACGGTCCTGAGGAGCACCCGTGGAGAGTGAACGGGAAGCACTAACAGGAGCTTCCTTTTTCTCTTCCCCAGCAGAAAAAAGACAGAGGCCCTTTCAGTAATGACCTCTTTGACCAACCTGAGCTCTGGGAGGGGGCATTCTTGCTAAATACAAGCCAGACTCTTTCTAGAGCCACATCTTCCGTGAGTTAGGTAAAATGGGCTCCCATGGGTGACAACATGACAGAGGTCCTGCCCAGGGAAAGGGAATGGAAGGCAGAGCAAATGATTCTGTGGCTGATTTATCCTGCTGTAGTTTTTTAAAATACATTTGTAATGATTTCAGGGAGGAAGGAAGAGAGAGAGAGAGAAACATCAATGATGAGAGAGAACCATTGATTGGTTGCCTCCTGCATGCGCCGCCTCTCCCCCGCCTCCAGTGGGGATCGAGCTTGCAACCTGGGCATGTGCCTCTTGACCGGAACCAAACCTGGACCCTTCAGTCTGCAGGCGGCCACTTTATCCACAGGGCCAAACTGGCTAGGGCTATCCTGCTGTATTTTGAAATTGTCAATCTGGAGAAGTCAGGTAACCAAGTCTACTTTCTCCTCAGAAGTAGGTTTGGAACTTAAATGGTTAAAAGAAATATCTACTTTGGCCCACTGATTTCACATGAAACACTTTAGTTGAAAAAAAAAATCTTTTTTTTATTATAAAGAATAAAAATGCAGATAATAATTCCAGAGGAAGCTTTCTCCCTATCTTTGTTTAGAAATGTGTTTTTAGAAACGTGTTTTTTCTTCTTTATATTTTTATTTATTGTTCTTCTAAATGAGGTTAAAACTTGGCTTTATTTTTCAGTGCATCTCTAGTCCTTCAAGTGAGAGCAGAAGGGACATGGTAGCAATTAAAATCAAGTCACCGATGCAGGCCCCAGCTAATTGAAAGGGAGGGGGGTATGGAGAAAGGGGTGTGATGGAGTTTGTCTCTTGCTCCAGGGAAGGTGAGGGCATGACCTAGAAAGGCTCTGGTTCCAGAATTGAGCTATATCATTAGTAACAGCTCTCGAAACCTACCTTTTGGGTTAAACTTAAAGCCTGCCATGGAAGAAGACCTGTTTTTTTAATGAGTATTTTACACGAGGTCATGTTTTTGCAATCTGTTCTTAACTGGGCTTTATGAAAAGAGGTTTAGGTTTGGGACCTCAAATGGTAGACAGGTACCCAATGGACTTAACTTATTAGTAAAGGTGATGGTACTGAATACTTGGTGGAATATGTAAGTTCATAGATTCAACAATGATTAGCAGTCCCTGTAAGGCGAAACACAGAGAACTTTTTATTATTATTATTCCCCTCAGCTAGCAGTATCTGAGCTGGATCAGAGGTTATTTTCTGAGCTGGGGGCTGGGAGGTGTTTCCAGGCAGATTTACGTGACACTTTTGTTGGTGTGGTTTGCAGATATCCCGACAAGGGCTTTGATGATAATTATTGCCGCAATCCTGATGGCAAGCCGAGGCCATGGTGCTATACTCTTGACCCTGACACCCCTTGGGAGTACTGTGCAATTAAAATGTGTGGTAAGTTAGGGTCAAATTTATTGCTTCCTTTTCCTCCCACAGATTGAATCGAAGCAGGTGATTATTAGTGAGACTGGTTAACAACTATTTTACTTGATGCTTTAATGTGTGCAGGTTTTTAATATTTTAAAAATGTGTTACATAATCCTACCCAATCCATTATTTTGAAAGAGAGAAATACACAAGTGCACACGTACTCACAAAACATTTATACTTATTAAAAGTCCTAAGCATTCTCATGTCATCAAGGAAAAAAAAACCACAGGAGGAGAAAAAGATCAGAGATTATATGAAGTGTCATAATGTCATTACGCTGTAAAAGCTAGGACCTTAGACTCTTACCTTCCAATCCTGTATCCTTTCCTTACCTTTCCTCCCCAGACGTTACATTGGCTGTCCGCTCACTGTGAACCTCCTCTGGTGAAGGACAGAAGCTGCAGTGATGAATAACAAACATTTAATTTCTAGGAGCTGGTCCCC